TCAACCATAAATAAGGGAAATCAATAGAATCGGAGTTTCCTATACGGAGAAAAAGGGGGCTATACTGTAACTTGACAACAAAGAAGGCAAGCTGACGGAAAGCAGCAATTCACTTTTTTTGATAGATAGTACCTCACCCGCGATAGAGTAAGCAATTTGAAGGTAGAGGCGATCCGTATGTGCCCATGTCGGCGGAGAAAGACGATCCAGGCAAATGAAAGCAGGAATCGAGAAAGACGACTCATTCTTACTTGCAATGGAAGTCTAATATAGGAAGCGATTTGTGAGCGTCTGCCACATCTCCATCTTATGCTCCAATCTGGGATCTTCCTCCAGGTCGAGAAGATGCTCCGCGGTCCATCTCTCCAGTTAAATATGATGATGACAAGGCCATCCCTGTGGACGAATCTGAACACTCAGATGGGGATGCCAAAGCAGTGGTCCGATGATGTGAGAGACCTCGAGAAGGTGAAGGTGCCACCAATGGATATATAGCTGGTAGTATCTCTTAAATAGAATATAGGCCCTTTCAAAGTACGAATTTTGGGTTTATTTATCAACGTTGTGTCACCTTGATCCCTCGACAACCTCGCAAGTAACTTTTCCCGAAAGAGCTATGGCGGGGCAGAGCTTGGAGCACTTAGTCGAAGCATCTTCGCCACGTGAGTACAGGCATATCATAATCTAATTGGATAAACTCTCATGTGTGAAATAGAGTTTAAGTTATAGAGAACTTAAGAAGTAGTAGAAAGCGCCCAACCAAGAGGTGATGACGCTGGTGTGAGAGATGTTGTGGTAGATAGGTAATTTGGTTTTTATAACCAACATTATATACGATGAATGAGATTCCAATGAGAGAGTCGAGAGCCAAAGAAGACCTTCGACTTGTCTTGTCAGGATTATGGAACTGGCCTAAAATTTCAGCATAGTCTTTCAAGATCTTAAGAATCTCCTTGCCATTAGAGATAGATGCCGCGCAGAAAAGCAGAATGTCATCAGCATACAATAAGTGGGACGGGAAAGGCAAACCCCGGACCGATACAAATGCAAAGAACCCGCCGAGCTTAAAGGTCAGTATATCGGCACTTCCCCTGCAACACAAAATAACAACGGAGAGAAAGGGTCTCCTTGTCGAACTCCTCGCGAACAGGTTAAATAGCCCGCTGGAGAACCATTAATAAGAATCGACATATGTATGAGCTGAATGGAAAATCAAATAGCACTGATCCAGTCGAAGAAAACCTGCTTCAGAGCGAGTACTCCGCCTAGCCTATCTTACGGCCGGCCCCCTTGGAATGGAAGGCGCTAGCTTTCTATAATTCTAAAAGCAAAGCAAATATACCACTCCCTCTTTTCTAGGGCTGGAAAGATTTACTCTATTTTTAGGTATGACGGAAATACATTTGACAACCGTAGCTTATGTGGTTACGAGTCGGGGTACGATAGTGATTCGCTATTCTAGGATGACTTCAAAGGCATCTCGTCCTCAAAAGAGGAAGGGAAGCAAACCACCCTCTCAAGAGGGGTTGGGGCAAGGGGTGATCGGTCGTCTAGCGGAGATACACAGCAAGCCACTATATGCGCTACTCCGAATTATTCTTCTGAGACTTCTGCCTCTTTTCCCAGCTATCCCTCTTTCCCTAGTGTTGCGGTCTCGCGGATTCTCTTTATTGTGATTTATTGTGTTGGAAAGTCTCTTCTTCTTTCCTTCCTACGGGCCAAATACCCATGAGGAGCCTTGTCGAAGCAGGAAAAATATCTTTTTATCTTCCGAAAGGAGGCTAAAACAGCCAAAGCAATATGTTCAGAAACCGTCTTTAGATCCTAACATTGTTATGAGAAATGTTCCAGATGGGCTAATCTCCGCCGAACCTGTGCAATAAAGGGAAGAATAAGTCACCACCATAAAGTATGGATCACAATAGTCACTAAACGAAAGAGGTGTTACCTTATTATACGCCATTTCTTAAATAGAGTTTCAAACTGGGGTTAAACAGGATCAAAATAGTGGCACTAATCAATGATATAAAGAGCACTCCCTTCCAATCTCAATTATTTCTTCCCCCCAAACCCTATACCCAGATAGAAGGAATGCATGGGCAGGAAGGAACTACGCGCGGGCAAAAAAGGAATCCAAAACCGGCACTCCTTCTCGGGCGGAATTGGACAGATTGAAGCTTCTTTTCTTTTTGCCGGAGGGCCACGCGAGAAAAGCGGGCTTGAAGCCAATTGAAGCTCGAGACCTAAGATAAGGTATGCGCCCGGTGAATGCGACTGATATTTTCCTGCGCCTGCCTATTATTAAAAAAAAGGAAAGCACTTGAACCGGCCAAAGGAGGACTCATTCAAGACAACTTCATAGGTGTTAAAGACTAGCTTGATGACAATACCTCTTTCTCAGTGGGATTTTAGTCTCAAAAGGCTTCATTCTTTGTTTGCTATTGTGACTACCCATCATCATACCGAGATGAACTAGTGTTAGGACAAGAGGTGGTAGACCTCGTCATACATTGATATTTTCACATTTAAAGACGAGGAATAGCGAGTCGATAATGCTTTAAAATAGGCAGATTTTATGATTGCACAAGATAGCGAAAATATGTTATATAGAGGGAAGCGGTGCCATCAAATCGTGAGTAATGGCAGTGAAACCAAAAAGGTAAGGTCTTGCAGAGCCTCAATTGGAATCATAGGGTGGGCGGTCTGCACGTATCGGGATATGGTATGGATTCTCATTCCTTTCTGGAAGCCTAGGCATAGACTAGGAGGGGTGCGGCTCACTTTGTTACATACGTTCTTTCTTCTTTTCAGAAGGTCTAGAGTAGGGAATCGAAAGATAATATTTCTGAATTGATGAGAGAAGAGGGCGTTAGTTCAGATAGAGAAGAAGAGCTAGCTTGCCTATTTCCAACGGTTAGACAAATGGTTGGAATTCAGATGGTTCCTTTGGGATCTCGTCAATTCATTTCTTTGTTCGCCTAGCAGTCTTTGCTTCTAGTACACCTTGAATTCTCTTTTGTATCGCATCTTTTCCTCGGACGACAGTACACTCTGAGCGTGCATCCTATCTATGTGCATTCACCCTCTCCTAATAGGATAAAAAAAGATCCAAGCTATCTACCATATTAACCCAATACTGACTAGTTGAACTCAACCCTTAGCTCTCACTTTAAGCATTGAATGAATCCCTATGGCCTAGTTCAATGATTGAGTACTTGTGCTGTGTAGCCATAGTTTCATAGTCTTTGTTAGTTTATTGTTTGGTTGAGTTATTAGCACCCTTAACCTGCTACATACGACTGGAAGCAAGTGTGTCAGAGTTGGGTCAGCGAGTGAGTGATTAGTAGTACATTAAGGGCGAGAGTAGCGGCTTAGGTTATCGATTACCGACTTCTCCTTCCGGGATAGAGAGTATGCATTATACGATTGCTAAGTGTTAAGCATATAGCCAGGGCCAATTGCAATTATTTAGGCAGTTGGTCAAACTGCCGACTAAGTAGCAGGAATTACTTGACCTCAGCCTAACAACCTTATCCTAGTCCGATCACTTATTCTCGTGGGCCTGGAAGGCTGCATTGGAGTATGCACGTATATCGTAGTATACATACAAGGTTCTTCTCTTTCTCCGGGAATACTTTCCGAATAGAGTTTGTTTGTCTCCTCTTTGGATTCGGAGCGGCGGTCTTGGTTTTGGAGAATGCTTTGGGGTTCACCCCCTCCTGTCTCTAATAAAAGCCGCTAGGAAAAGCTCTTTCATCAGGGGTTGGGGCATTTCCTAACAGGTTTGTCCTGGGGAACTTTCGATCTGGCCCTTCCTTTTCATCTGTCTTCTGCCACCAAATACGCGTACTACCTGTACCCCTTCTGCCAAGGGCTTAATTTCCTTCTTAATCCGCTTAAGCAGAATTAGAAATGGCCTTTTCGCTCTTTTATGAAGGAGAAGCGCGTATATCTTTTATCTATGCTTGGCTGGTGGTATAGGATAGGATGAGCTAACTGAAGCAGTGATGAGCTAGGATAAACACTTTATCGACCCAGTTTAGAGGCAATAAAGTAGAAAGATAGGTTTAAGATTGGCTCTCTATAGTTATATTTAGGAAAGCTCAATCTCTCCATGAACCCTTGCTGCAAAAGTCATGTCACTCCCGCTCAGCGAATCAATCGCAGGTCCCAACCCAGAAAAAGAGTCAGAGTGAAAGGAAAGGCGGATTTACTAATTGGTTGAAGAAGTTCCGGAGGGGAGGTTAACAGAAGGCATGCTCCTATCCATAAGCAAGGAATTAAAAGGCCCATAATATCTACTAACGACTGTGGTTTGGGTGAAGATGTAGGAATCGATAAAGTCTTCATCTTCCGGAATTTCGGGCTTAGGTCCCCGCGCAGGGGTGATCCTTCTCAGACCTTTCTCCGGAGACCGTAATAAAGAGTCTTTGCTTACTTACATTATAAACGCGCTTCACTCTAAGGAGTTAAGTAATGAATCCTATTTTCCCGAGCTTGCCTGGCTGGAAAAGCCCAACGACTAGTAAGTGTAGTTAATTATGTCTAAAACTTTCTTTAAATCTTTCTTTATTGGATGGATATTATTGAAAGGCTCAGTGTGCTTATGAACATAGGGGTTGGTTCCAGAGAACCAGATAGGAAGAAAAGACCCAGAGGATTCTTTTGAAGCAGCATGACTAGACTCAACTCATGGATTTGTATTGAAAACTTTTTTTCATTGGTAGTTGGAGTACCAAACCGGTCTAATCTCTTTCTACGGCAAGCGCCATCGCCTTTTTCACTCTGGATTAGCCCTCAGTAGCATTCCCAACTACATGCTTTTATTCTTCATTTTTGTTTCTTTGACTAGGAATTACTCCCTTTTTTACCCTATCCGATTCTTTACTTATAGTCTCTACCTTTGTATCTGATGTTCCTGCACCCTTTGCTTTAGCATATCCATCTGGATGGCAGTGAAGAAGCATAATAGCCTTCTCCATAAGTCTAACTATAACCATTGGTTCAATGTAATTAGGATTACCTTCTATCTTTGGACTTCTTATCTACATCACCTGAGACTTGGGGTTCTTCTTCAACTGTCTCAGAAACCTAACATTGCTCTGTCGAGCATGAGGAGCCATCACTCTGACTGCCAGAACAGAACAAGGACCTTCTCTGATGACGCAACCTTCAAGAATAGAATTCAAAATCATAAGACGACTTTGCAACAAAGAGAAAAATAGTGCTTTCTCAGAAAAGAAAGAGAGATTGGCATTCCTCCGATCAGCATGAGAGCTCGATCCAGCTGAAAGCGATCCCTCAGAAAGTCCTTATAAATGGACTGCTCCTCTATGTGCTCCGAGACCCTCTCCTTGCTCGAGGGAAGATGTGCGGTTCTCTGCTTCAGCCGCGGGCTGAACACCGGAATTCCAAGCAAAGACGTTAGAGGATACTGCATCTCGTAACGGTAGAAAGAGGAAATGCTAAGCGAAAAAGGTTAAGATTGCTTAATGAGTTATGGCCACTAGTCATTCGGATTTATCCTGACTCATGTCAGTATTATCACAGGGCATTTAGCCTGCCTATATCTCCGCTTTCGCTTCCGTACTCAACCGTCTCTCTCCTTAGTCCGATCTAGCCTCTATTGATTGAGAGGGTTGAAGACTCCTTTGATTTTTTTAATGCAATTATGAATTCCATGGAACTTTATCGATTCCAACGCAACTTATCCTTTTGGAGCTGACGAAACAAACTACGCGAGCCACCCGACGAAGCCAACATAAATCATATCCGAATAAAAAAATAAAAGGCAGTTTAATTATGGTGGTATACCAGGCGTCTGTTCTGGAACTTCAAGTTCCAATCGAAGCATATCTATCTGTAAATGGATTTGTATGTATAACCACTTCAGTCGTGCTCGTTGTTTCTCTAAAGTATCTTTTTTCTGGGAACATGGTCAACCATAAATTATTATTTTCTCTATTCTTCATCCACCGATGCAGAAAATTATCCAGTTTTCCATTCTCATATGAGGCCGGAAAGTTTATTGGCAACAGGTGGGCACGAAGTGATTCATCATGCTCAAACATGAGGCGATCGTTCGTTAGGGACGGTTTATAGATCAAAAAATTCCCACAAATGGAATGAGAAGTGGGTCCATGTAAATGATCGAGATCTCGGAAACAACAACGCTCCTTCCCCATATGGATTTCGGAACCCAAAGGCAATCATTGAGTGAACTGTATCTTCTTTGTGTTAGTTGACCTAAGCCGCACCATTACTGCTGGGGTGGGGCTCGGCCTCTGAACCGTACGTGGGGCGAGTTTCTGCCTCATACAGCTCGGGCCGAAGACGGGGGAAGTTTAGGAGAGATGGGGAGACCCAGCAGCAGTCGGTCGGGGCGGGGATAAGCTTGTGAAGAAGCAAATCCCCCCCAAAATCCATTTATATACTATAGTGCTAGCGCTTCGCGTTCTTTCTATTTCATCCCTTTTTTTTCGGGATAGGCGGCGGATACTAATCTAATAAGTGAAGTAGTCATCGTCTGACCAATTGGCTCGGACACCAGACCACTCGTGCCCGCCCACTCTGTCTCGCCCTAAATGGAATGGCTATCTTAGTTACGCTGCGCTCCGGTCTGAGTCCCCACGTCCGCTCTTCTCCGCCCGCAACCCAATAAGTTGGCTTTGCCAACACAACATTAGGGCCGTCCCCTTCATTCTATGCCGACCCCGGCCCGGGGCTGGCTTTTTTGGAAGCCCGTTCCCACCGCGCTCACGGCCCGGCTGGCCTTCCAGCAGTAGTGGTAATTTTCCCGCTCCCTAGTCAAAGACTTGGTTGGATGCGGGATCTACTCCGCGAGGAGCGGTACGGACGTAGATGATATCATCACGACCTCTCTTTTCGTACCGCTAGGGATGCTTAACGCCACTTTTCCAACTGGAATTACCTGCGTTTTCGTCTCTCTCAGTGTGGTCAGCACTGGGTGTTTCCGAGCTGCGAGGCTTACACCCATCCGCATTAGTTCATCCAAAGTTCCTTACCCTTATGCACGAATTATTGAATAAGCCATTTTCCTATCAAGGTTCAGGAGTCAACTGAGCATCTCAGCGGCGGGATTGAATACCTAGATCGAGTCAGAGTTCATGCCGCCCGCCCCGAACAAATAGGAGGCGTGGGCCACAGGTCGTACATAAGCCGCCGGGTCGCACGACAGAAGAACACCCAACATACAGATGCACACTCCAAAATGTGAAATATTCATCTTCATTGGAGCTTTTTGGTGGTAGTCGTGACCAACAGCCATCAGTTGTCGGCTCGCTGGTAAGGCGAGAGCTTCAAGCCCGATTTCAGGTTTAGGTGGCACACCCCCCACACAAGCACCACCTGACGAAGGGGGGACGGGGAAAGCTACAGGCCCAAAACCTTCGACCCTTCTTTCTAAATGGGGGTGCCCGGAGCACCCCATCCTGTCATTTCGTTGTTGCTCATTCCCGTTAGGGTTAGGCCGAAGTCTTTGGTGTATCCTTATCCGCGCCCGCTCACGCTTTGCTGACCTATCGCGTGGTAAAGAGAAGAGAGTACGAAAGAATAGTAAACAGAGCACACCGCAGAAAGATTCTAAATATGAGAAGTCCCCCTTGGATTCGATAAGAAGGAAATGAAGAACGGGAACAAAACGAAATGAGGCGTTTCCAGCTCTAGTTTCGGATGAGCTTCTCCCAATTATGTCTGGTAATAGAATAGGGCGGCTTGCTCTGACCAAGACTCCACTTTTTGCTTCGTCCATGGAGCGTATGAATTTCCTGGAATGTAGATAGACCAAAAGAGGGAATGAAGGGATAAGAATAGGAATTAGAGTCCCATTGGAAAAAGGGGCACCTGTGGGAACATCTCTACTGACGAACCATTTCAATAGTAAGGGTGTTGTCGTGCCACGAGGCACGACCATAGAAGTAATGAAAAAGAAAAAGTTATATAGTTGGACCATCTGCTCTATCCGTTCGAGTTTCGCTTCTCTAGATAAGATGAGACGCTAAAAATGAAAGTGTTCGCAACGCATACCGAAAGGATACCAATGAAGCCGGCCATTAATGACTAGTTCGAACACCAGGAGCGGTCTGATCCCTAATTTGATCAAACAGACTGCTCTTAGAAAGATGAAATAAAAGCAAACTCTCCAAATTGTTGACCAATCTTTCCTTCAATGATAGAGGCAAGAAGACTTTCTGTCCAGGCCTTACTATAACCAATCTCACAGATCCCACTCCATCTTTTACACCGATGTATCATACTCTCTCAACCAGGTCATCATAAGAAAATACTGCGAAATCTTTCCGAAGTGAGAGAAGGAGGGAAGGCACGCTACAACTAACATAACAGCCAGCTGAAAAACGCTAGCTAGCTAGGCTAGCGCGCAATGGCTTTCTCTGATAGGGGCTCGCTTCTTCAAGCTCCGCCCAACCTATACAAGGTGTTGCTCGCTTTCTCTCAGCCACCAGTGGCTTATGTAGTGGCATTCCTACGTGCTCCTCTTTGCCCCCTACTTAAGAATCCAAAGGTGACCTTTGGCTGTTGTCTTGACGCTTTGGTTACGAAAGTAGCCGGGGTCTAGGTTTATTGATGGATTTTGTCAGCGAAAGTCCCTCAAACTCAATCAATATCAACAACATGTCGTGACCGGTTAGGCTTGGTGGATTTTATCATAAAAGAAAGTAGGTTTCGAGGGTGGGTTCATTGATTAGTACACCTCCGGTGCTGATAAGGTCGGGACCGTGGTCGTCCGTCTCAGGTTTGCCGGCCGATAAGATCTCTGAGATTGACCAGCCAGCTGGGTTGGTTTGGCTATTCCTTTCTATTGAAAAGAAGGAGTCAGCTGTCTGCGTGAGTCACCTTCTTCTAGGATCCATTTCCACCAATTTCAGCAATTACAAAAAGTAGCGAATGGAAAAAACGGAGTAGTGGGTCTCTAAGCCTGCCTCATTCATAATCCTCAGTGAGGGAATCTGAACTTCCACTGGCAGAACAACTTCCATGCCATAGACTAGAGAAAAGGGAGTTGCCCCGGTTGATGTTCTAGATGAAGTACGGTAGCCATGTAGAGAAAAGGGTAACATATCATGCCAATCCTTATAGGTTACCACCATTTTCTGCATAATTTTCTTGATATTTTTGTTGGCTGCTTCGATTGCGCCATTCATTTTCGGTCTATATGGAGAAGAATTGTGATGCTTGATCTTAAACTGAGTGTAAAGCTCAGTAATCATAGCATTGTTGAGGTTAGTCCCATTGTCGGTGATGATCCTTTCGAGGATACCATAGCGGCAGATGAGGTTGTTTTTGATGAATCTGGCTACCATATTCTTGGTGACTGAGGAAAAAGAAGCGGCTTCGACCCACTTGATGAAATAATCAATAGAGACCAAAATGAAGCGATGTCCATTGGAAGCAGTTGGCTTGATTTCTCCAATCATATCAATGCCCCACATTGCAAATGGCCACGGAGCGGTCATGACGTTCAGAGGGATAGGAGGAACATGGACCTTGTCAGCATAAATTTGGCATTTGTGATAAGTCCTAGAGTGTTGATGGAAATCAGTCTCTATTATTAACCAATAGTAGTCGGCCCTCAGGATCTTCTTGGCCATCGTATGTCTACTTGATTGAGTACCAAAGAGTCCATCGTGCATGTCTTCCATGATTTCCTCTGCCTCCTTCTTGTCCATACATTAGAGTAGAGAGGAGTCATGGTTGTGCTTGTACAATATTCCGTTGCTTAGGAAGAAATTGGCTACAAATCTCTGTAAGAATTTTCTGTTATTGATGGATGCTCCCTCTGGATACTCTTGTGCTTCAAGATATCTCATCACCTCATGGTACCATGGCTTTTCCGCGTCAATGTCAAGCTCACAGCAATGTGCAGGTTCGTCGAATCTTTCAATTGTAATCATAGAGGCATCATTGTCCCATATGACCTTGAACATTGAAGACATGGTTGCCAAAGCGTCAGCCAATTGAT